CGCAGAATAAATAAATCAACAAATTAAATGCGACAATATTATGCCCAAATAAATGTCATTTACCAGTAGATGAGCAAATTTCTATGCAAAAATAAAAGATAGAACACAAGTTTAAGCAACTACTATCATAAATTGTACTCTCATACATTCAAAAAAAATACGAATTTTTGTTTGACTTTGTAAAATTAAATCTTTAAATGATTTCTTTAACAACTTCGGCTTACTTTTCTGTTAAAATGTTGGATTTAGGCTGTACATTTGTGGTTGTTTCTTGGCTTAGTAAATACTAGCTTGAATTTCTATAATTTGAGACAACAGAACAGCTTTACTTGTAATCTCAATGAATATCTGACAGGATCTTTAAGGTTAAGTTTGTTGCTACTCTTTCTTATTCAATTATGGATTACCCACATTGATTCAAGAAGAACGCTCGTTTCCTCTCCTTCTCTATATCCCTCTCTTAATTTATTGTTAAAATTTGTATTTTTATTTTGCATTTAGTCTAGTCATTTGGAAACAGACATAAATAAAATCTGCGGTTGCGCTCAGGAATCAATCGATTGCGTCTCGAATAAACCACAGTGCAAAATGGGAGCTGGTTGAAATTTGTTGCTGTAGTCGTAGGTTATTTGTTGCTTGGGGCATTGGGGGCATAGGGATATTGCTTTTGGTGCTTTTGGGGCAAACATATGTTAGGTGAATTTATTGTTATTGAGTGGCACGCCTGACACATCACAGCGTCGGCCTGCCTCACAACCTGGGCAGGCAAACACTTGCAGCACATTGAATGCCGCACAGTCCGAGCAAGTCCGAGCAAGCGGCAAACATGTTAAATTATGTATATTTTAATCTCAAGCTTATCGCACTCATTAACACCTCGGCTGACAAACTATGCACGAGTTGGCAACCAGTTGGCTGCTAAGCAGTCGGGCCCTGCAGTCAAAAGTCTTTACAATTTTGTTTTTCATAGCGAGAGAATCCTGCACACTTTGATGAGCTGCTTTCAGGTGCTTTTCATCCGCAACCGCACCTGGCGTCAGTGTGCCTAAACTAATAAAGCTTATCTCGCTTGCTTAGCCACAACATACAACGTTTTGGGGCAAATGTGGGGCAGGCAACATAGCAACTTCGGACTTCTCTGGTCGCACTGAGTGTGTCAAGGTGATGTCAGAGCCCTCGAGAAGACTTAACTGAATATTAAGCAAGGCCAATAAATGACAGTTGATCAATTGGTTGCAATTGCAACAACCGATTAAAATTTGCAATTTTCGGCTTAAGTTGAAAGCCCGACAACTGCAGCTCAGGCATAAAATGAAATAAATTGTAAAAGCAAAATAGAAAGCAATTATGCACGACTGCACAGAGAAAGAGAGAGTGAGACGGAGAGAGATAGAGAGGGAGAGAGAGACACTTGTGCTGCTTCTTTGACAAAAATGTAATTAAAATCCTTTCCTCTCCTGCAGTCTGTGCATAATTAATTGAACTAAAGCTTTGCGCAGCGAACTGCGCCACTTTCCTACTGCGAGCTGTGCGAATTGCATGTGGCTCGTAAAGTCAGCTTAACCATAAGGTTATTAACTGAACTGTGCTTGGCAAATGAAATGCTGCTGCACTTTATGTACTTTTCACACTCTACAAGCAGCATTTCACTCCACAACACAGAGTTTGCTCAGCATATCATATTCAATTTGTAGCATTTGCTTTTTGCTGCGTTGCATAGATCACTATTTCTTACACTTCTGATTTTGCACTCCCAATTTGAGATGACTAAGTGCAGCACTTGCTCTCTTATAGATTGCCAGTAAGTGTGCACACACACACACACTCAGACACACACCCAACCCCGCACACTCGCTTGCCTCGAAGGCAGAATATTTCAACAGAAAACAAGTGTAAATCAAATAAAACCTAATAAAATATTACACAAAAAAAAAAGAAAAGGAAAAGCGGTCACAGCTTGGCCCCAGCATTGCCGACAGCAGCACGCACAACACCACAAACACCACACACACACACACACACACACACATATTTACTTGCACCCTCACACGCATTTGGTTTATAAAATAGCGCAGAAATTTGAGGAAAGCCAAGCAAGGAAAAACAGCAGTGTAAAAAGGGAAAACGAAACGAAAACCCAAATGGCAAACGAATTGAAGTCAGCAATTTTATGTTTTATTGCAATTCTTGGCTTTCATTTTCTCGCTGCTTCGTTCGGCTTGTAACCCGTGTTCTATTTTACGGCTGCCATTGCGCCGTACACCGTCGCCAGCTAAGTTCCGGACAGAACGCCGAACGCCGAACGCCGTAGCATAGCCGTTCTCGTCACGACTTCTCATAAAAGAGCCGCTTCGTGCTGGATAACTGAATGTGTGTGTGTGTGTGTGTGAGGAGAGTTGCGTGGCTACGGATTCTGATACAACCATTTACCGTGCAACTATGGCAACGTAAAGGTAAAAAGCTGCTGACGGTGGTGGCAGCGTTGTGGTTGCCACACGCTTGCAAAATCGCTTTAAAGCCACCTTGCTTTTTTTGTTGTTTTGTTTTGCTGGCAAACGCGTGCCACTGGGGTGCCCAGCTCCACCTCAGGTCTGTGCGTGTGTGTGTGTGTTGGGGAGGGGGGAGGGCTGTCTTTTCGCGCGCATATGTCATAAATGGTACGGGTCTGGGTTCGGGTCCTGGTCCGGGTCCGGGCCTGAGTTCCCTGTTCGGCCGCCGTATTTATTCCTTTTTTCTTTTTTTTTTTTGGGGTCTCGGCCTGTTTCTGGTTCTATTACAAGGGCAGGGTTGTAAAAATGCGATGGAAATGGAAATGGGTTTTTGCGGCAAGTGCGCTGCAATTGTGTGGCATTTATAGATAGGGCAATTTCTCTATGTGTGTGTGTGTCTGTGTGTGTTTCGGATAGATATTCATGCGTGTGTTTGTTTGCTTGTTTCTATATTAAAATTATATGTTATCGATGGGCTTTATGCATTCACATTGGGTATGGGCATTCGGCAAAATTGTTTTGAAGTGAGCATAAATCACAGAATATTACTCTATATGCATAATTTATTGAACGATGGGGCAGCAGCATTAAGGCATGACTAAGCATCACTATTTTTATTTTTCTATTATTAGAGTAGCTAAGGCTTGGCAAATATTTGCCATGGAATGGTTTGTTACAACTGAAACTTTCAATCGGTTGACAAATTGCCATTTTGCTCACTCGTATTATAACACAATATATATAAAATGAATCTCTCACGCCAAAGCACATAAAACTTGGACGTAAGTACTGCTCAGTGGTCCGGCCATTAAAATGCATTAGGCATAAGCGCTGTTTTATGGACTATCAGCTTGGCCCATGCCCCGTTGCTGGCCCTGGTGCCCCAACCCGGTCAGCGTCTAATTGCCAGCACTGCCAACTTTCACACAATGAATGGCGTGCGCCTGGGCACAAGACCCCCAAAGACTCCACTGGCCCAAACCCAATGCCCGACACAAACGTAAACGCAAACGCAAACTCAAACTCAAACCAAATACTCAATTGAAGACCCAAGCCAAAGCCAAAGCCAAACTCAAACTGGGAACTTGAGCGAGGTCCCAGGCAATAAATCATTGCGATGGCTGCCAAGCTGCAACATCATTGAACATTAAAATAATTGCATTGCGAAAGTTGCCAATGTTTTTTGTTGTTGCTGTTCTTGTTCCTGTTGTTGTTGTTGCTGCTGCTGCTGCTTCGGTCAGCACATGCCACACAGCGCACTTCATGTTCATTAATGATAATTAAAAAAGTTTTGCCAATAAAAATTTGCTGTGCCGACTGTTCAGCAGCTTCAATTTGTTTAACAACTGCAGCGAAAGTGTGTATGTGTGTGTGTGTGTGTGTGTGTGTGTGTGCGGAGATAGCAACCACTCAAAGCAGGGTACAATTTAAAATAGTGTTATGCCAGCTAACAGTTAATAAATCAAAATAAATCCAAGTTGCAAACGTGCTGAAAATCGGGCTTAGCAGTTAAATCTTAAGCCAAGGATTTAAAAAAAGCAATTTTAGCAAATTTTTAATATTTTCTTCTTCTAGCATACTTTGCTTATTGTAAACATTTTAAAGTTATTTTAGGCCATACATTTTTAAAATTTGATAAGCACTTCAGCATTTAAAAAAACTTTCATTATACTTATTCATTTTCGAAATATATTTTTTTATACTTAAAGTAAACTTTGTCTGTTTTGAAAATTAATTAAAATACTATCAAGAATTATTGCGCTTATTTTGACTGTGAAAAAGTATTGAAATAATTGTAGCACGTTCATGTGCAAATCAAAAATGAGTTAAGCCAGCTACGAAGTCAAATTCAATTGGCAGCAAATTAGTGAGAATATTCATGGCAGGCAGACCTCTAAGAACTCTATAAATATGTATGAGGTGTTGTCTGGCATGTGGCATGTGGCATGTTCATGTTGCAACAGCAGCAGCAACACTCTGCTGGTGCTGCGAGTGTGCATTTTGCGGCAACTGTTTAATATTCTGCACGTATTTTAACAAGCTTGTTGCTCAATTTTGCATTTAAAATGCAGGCAGCCAACAAGCTTTTGGGAACGGCAGCAAGGCCAAGTCAAATACCGAATAGATGTTGTATATCGATAGGCGATAGACGTCGAAAGATATATCCTAGAATGCAAGTCATATTTTGCACAATTTCCAGTTTGAAGAACCAAAGTTGATGGCAGGCAGCAAAAACCCGGCAGGCCGAGGTTCCCTGAAAAGCCTGCTGCTGCTGCTGCTGTGCAAAATGTAAACAAACATTTTGCCACACACAAGCACACATACACACACCCAGAGGCACAGACTGGAAAATGCCGCCGTTGCACGTGCAACACACTGCGCCGACTCACCAAAATGTGCGACGTTCTGTTGAGTTCTGTTTTCGGGCTTTCCATTAAAGTCAAGTTCGCAGTTCGTTGTTGGGATTGAAACGGTTTTGTTTGGCCAGCTTTGGCAGTCAGTTTGTACGCGTCACTGCAGCAACCGTTGTGTGAATTGTTCGCGTCCAGCCAAAAAAATATTCAAATTCCGAATTGACGCAATAATAATCGTGACATTACGCATACGTCGCGTGGGCCCAACTTGTTGTGCATTACATTTATTGTATATTGTATATTGTGTGTTAAAACTAAATAGCAAACAATAGTCAAAGCAACAAGCTGCGTATGTATTTAACGAGTATTTGTGTTCCATTTGTGCCACACTTAATGGCTTTGGCATTGACAACATACTAGTCCCCGAGCTGTCAAAGTGTTGTCCTCGCCTGCCGCCCGTGTAAATATTCATTTATCTAGTCGACGGGCCACGGAGGTGATGCAAAAGTTGTTGCCTGCTTTTAGCATAATTAAGCCAAGTGCTTGCAACTGGCACGAGCTGCAGCGGCAACTTTAGTTGCAGAAAGCCAGGTGCCCTTAAACCTAAAAAAAAAAAAGTTCTTGCACCAAGTTGTCGCAAGTGTTAAGGCTGCCTTAAAGTTCTCTGTTGTGCCCCATCTGCCTGCCCGCCGCCTGCCGCCTGCCTGGACTGTATTTTGAGGTAAGTTGAACAACGACCAAAGCAAGGGAGCAGCACTTAACTGTCCAGCTGCTAGTTGCCTGTTAGGCAGCTTGTTTATAGTTAGTTCGTAACTTGAACTTGTTGTTTATTTATTTTTTTTTTTGGGACACAGCCGGCAAAAGTTTTTAGTGAATTTTGCATTTATGAGTGTCGAGTGTTTGTACATAATATACGGTTTTTTTAGTTCACATTAAATAATAAAATAAATAAATAACATAAATGAATTAAATAACGTAAATAGAAGGAGTCAAATAAATAATATAAATAAAATAAATGAATTAAATCAAATAAAATAAATAAAGGATAAATTAAAATAGAGCTATTTGTTTATCATATTTATAGATATATACAAATATAAAATTAATAGATTCTGACAATTCAATTCAATTTTAATAATCAAAATCGAATTTTTTAATTTGGCCAAATGCATAAGCTTATTTGTTGTTAGTTACATTTATGGTCAACAAGTCTCTTCATTTTTACTATCATCGCAATATAAATAAAAAAAAGTTAATTTGATTGCTTGACTTATTTTTCTTAAATATTAATAGTCTAATCCTTGCTCAACGGGTCTCAATTAGATGCGGGTCCTTAGCTTAAATGATCCTCGCGTATGTAAACAATGCCTAAATGGCTTAAGCGATTCGACTGACTGACTGACTGACTGAGTTTGATGTTAATTTTCGATTGACTTCTGGCAAATCCGTTGCCCCAATTTCCACGGCCTTGCTCTTAGTTACAGAGAAAAAGTTTTCAAGTGCCCAGGCGAGGAGCATTGAATTAAATTAAAAAATAAATAAAAAAAATGAAAAAACACACAAATCGGAAAGAAGGCAGAAACCGAAGCGAAGAAGGCGAAGAAAACTGGCGACGCATGTGCAAATAAAAGAGGGCTACAAATTCAATTTGAGGGGCTTGACATGCCGCATCGCATAGGCACAATAGTTAAGCGGAAATGAACGTCCCTGGGGCCCGTGGCATGGAAGTGTGTCAAAGTACGGCGGAATCAATCGACGAAAAAGAACCAGAAGCCAAAGGAGTCGCACATAGAGAGGGGGTGGGTAGGGAAAGATGAAGACGAAACGCCAAACAGCCATGAGCCATAAAATGAGAGAATGAACTCGTCAAACGAAATCGAAATGGAATGGAACTCAAGCAAAAACTACTTTGTTTGCGATTAGCACTTGGCCAAGCTCTGCCTTGCTGGCAGAAGGGGGTGGATACGATGGGTGGAAGGGGGAGTGGGGTGTGTGGGTTACCCAGCCTACATACAACTCAAAGTGCAGCTCTTGGCTGCATTGTGCGTTTGGGGTTGCTTGCTGTTGCTGTTGTTCTTGTAGGTGGAGATGGTGATGGAGGAGGAGGAGGGCGACGACAGAAATGTGTGTCAATATATTGATTGAATAATGGTGTACATATTGACAAACAACTCAAAAGGCACTCGACACTCACAACTCACAGACTCAAGCTCAGACCCAGAACCAGACTGTCAGACTGTCAGACTTGACAGCATTTGCCAGGCGACTAGAGACGTTAGACGAAATTGTATAGGACAGAGGGCAGGCCTAGAGGCGAAGCACTTTCGTTCAGAGGAAACGGAACTGGAATATGTCGAAATGGCAAATGTAAAATAAGCAGGACCAAGGAGCAGGAGCAGGAGCAGTCAAGGGGACGGGGCAGCACATCAAAGGGCATTTCGAGTGCGTCGTCAATGCAAAGCAGCTCACAAGATGAAGATGTCGACGTCAATGTCGATGGAGCTAACGATGGTGAGGCGATGGCGATGTCGATGACGATGACGTTGAAGAAGTCATTTGAGATGGCAACCAAAAAAAAAAAACGATGATTGTGAGTAGGCAACTGGGAAGCTGTTAGCTGTTAGGGAGTAGGGGCGTGTCTGTGACACGTGTTTCTTTAATTAGATAAAGTTTGTTTGCATTACAAACATACTGGCAGCAAAATTTGCCTGTGCCAGCCTCCTCCAGTATGTGGCACAAGTGCTGTCAATGGCAACGTCTGCCACCAACTTTTTGCGTGCTCAATTCCCTAGCGGAAAAAAGTTTCTCCTGGACACGGCGCTCGCCCTGCGCCCGTGCCACTTTGCAACATGATTGACAGACGCACGTCTAGTCAAATAAAAATAAATACAAGAAAGTACTGATATCTTGGCCTCGACGAAGATTGCATGCCCTATATTAAATGAGGCACTTAAAAAATCGACTGATCCTGATTGACAACAACTCATCCCATGACAGATTCCTACCATTTTGATAAGATTTTTATCATAATGGATATTGCCAGAGTTTCATAATATTGATCAAAGTTTGGCAATATTCAAGTGAGACGAGTTTGATTAAAATTCGGAGGTGCCACATACACATGCCACAACAACATTTGAATACCATCTCCGACCTTATTAAAATATATATACAAAATAATTTATTTAAAAAAAAAAAATAGGTAAAGAAAAAAGAATTGCGGATAAAAAACTTTCTGCGGCACTCTGCAAAATCTTATTTACTTAAATAATTTCATTGAATTTCCTGCTGGGCCAAATTTTTGCTCATTTGCGTAATATTTTCACATTGCGCCGCATTTTCTCCAGCAATTTTCCTATTGCCTTGGAACAGAACTTTGTAAAAAAATATTTACATTTGATTTTCCTTTAATATTTTGTTCTTTCTTTCAAGCTTTTTTCTTATTTATTTGCTTTTGTGATTTACAGCGTTATTTTTACGTTGCCAGCGTCGAAGTTTTCTTTTCCGCAAGGTGACTCTTATTGAAAGCTATAAAATATTATTTTCTTGTAAGGAATTCGCTTTAAAATGTGAGCAAATTTTCTTAACAGCCTCATAAAGTTGAGGCATTTGAATTCATTGAAATCAAGAGTGGAGCAAAATGTAGTTTGTATCCGCCTCAGCTTCCTTTTGATTTTTCATTTAATGTTATTTCAAGTAATTGATTTTAAAGTTTGTTAAAGTTAGTTATATTCCCAGGATTGGTAGAATAATTCTACAACATTTTTTGTTTAATTTTGATGAATAATAATAAATGGAGATTATTCAGACACATTTAAAAAGTACAGCTGCAAAGCGAATCTAGTCACGTAGTCTGCATATATATTTCTATAGATAATCCAGGCAGTATTTCATAATGAATATCAAGTTCACTTATAGCTCATATTCATAAATTTGTTGTAATTGTGCTAAAAATGTTGAAGATTTCAAGGCTTTGCCTTTGCTTTTGGCACTTTGTTTGTATTGTACGAGGCGCAAACTTGTTGTTAATTAAACGCTCACAAAAGTAGGTAACATGCATATAACAAGTGCTACACCCACACACACACACGCACACACACACACACACACACACACACACACACACAAACACATACTCTCTCACATACTCTCTCTGTGGCATACAATCTCAATTGTTGCACATATTAATTTGTGTGCTGGCTTTCAATGTGGCTTGCCTTTTGTGTTTGCCCCTTGCTGGCGCCTTTCTTCCCTTTTGGGCCGACCGACAACAATGGGAATGACAACAATGAAGGCCAGCAATGCACATAAACTTGCTGAGCAAACACAAGGCAAGTGCGCCCAGCAACAACAACTACAACAACTACAACAGCAGCAACATCACCAGCAGCAGCAGCAGCAATAACAACAGCAGCAGCAGCAGCAGCCGCAGCAACAATTGCAGAGGCAACACACCAACAGCCCCACACAATAAAACACACTAACACAAATCTTTATTTAAGCATAACAAAAACATCAGATCCAATGGTGGCAAACTGAAAATACCCAGAAAAAGCAGAAAAAGGAGGCTAGCTGAAAAGCGGACAAAAAAAAATTAGAGCAGCAAAGCGCCTTAGGATATGCAACACATAAAACTTTAGTTTCGGTAGCAGCCAGCAAGGACAGTCACTTCGCATCGTCTCTCCTTGCGTCCCTCTCTCTCTCTCTCTCTCTCGCTCTCTCTCTCTCTCTCTGTCTCTGCTGAATGCTTATGCACTGACCTTTAACCTGATAAGTGTACGAACTTGAACGCAATAGCTTATCACAAGTTACCATGATTCATTTCGATTGTTAGCTATGCTTAACAAAATGTTGTTTACCATTTCAAAATCATTGCTATCATCTTCTGGCATTTATCATGATAAGTGTACGAATTGGAATTGAATACATTAGTTATCATGATATGCTACGTATAAACATTCATATAGACATTTAAATTCGATGGATATGCTCAACAAAAAGTAGTTTTCTTCTGGCATTTATCATGATAAGTGTACGAATTTGAATAGTTTATCACAAGTTATCATGATATGCTACGTATAAACGTTCATATAGTCATTTAATTTCGATTGTTAGATAGGCAAAAATTAGTTTTCCATTTCAAAAATATTGTTATCATCTTCTGGCAATTATTGTGATATGCCACACATAAACGCCGCACATATTCGGGTGCTGTGTGTGCAGTAAATGCTGCTGCTGCTGCTGTTGCATGAATGCCAGCCAGCATCGAGGAGTATAGCAACAACAGCAGCAGCAAGTGAAACGTCATCCAATGGATTCAAGTGATGTCTATGGGCAACCATTTCCGTTTCAATGTCTGGCTGTTTAGTCCGATGGCTGTTAAGCCATTTTCTGTGCCAGTTTTTGGCTCGAACCGAAAATTGGCAGTCAACTTAAAACTTGGCTAAAAGAGTCCTTCTAATACGAATAACCGAATAAGAAGCAGTCGCAGCCAGGGCTGCAGCCTACATATCCCAACAACTATCTACGTATGTGTGTGTGTGTGTGTCTATGTGGCAAACTTTTTACAGGAAATGGTGGTGAGGTTGTTTGGGGGTGGGCTGGGGAGTCGGCTGTGTGGGGTGAAGGGTGTATTGCCCCCGGCTGGCGAAAGAGGCTGCCAAAAAGTTTTACGTCGCAAACTTTTCTGCATATATTTTGCCCACAAAACGGAAGCTTGTTTTTCATGTTTCGTGTCTTTTGCTTTTAATTTTTTCTATTCCTCTGTCTCTGTCTCTCTCTCGTATACACTTTAGTTGGTATCTCCTTAGAATTGAAATGCTTTAATCGCAATTTATCAAATTGGAAAATAAAAGGGCTCAAGAGTTGCCCAGTTAAAAAGTTTGCTAGTTCTCCGAAAATTTGCACAATTTTCTAAGCATTTAATTTGTCAGTCGCATTCGCTCAGTTAAAAGTTTTCCTCAACACGACAACCGATTACAGTTACACTTTTCCCGTTCTTTCTTTCTTTTGTTTTAGGGGGTGGCTCAGCATGCGACCAAGGGAGACAGGCCAACAGCATCACCATCGACCGCCTGCTTCGATTCAACAAGGAGCCTAAACAGCGTGCAATGTCCACACAGCAGAGATGTCTATGTCCATGTCCATGTCCATGTCGATGTCGATGTCGGAACGCAATATGCCCAGCCAGGGGCTGGGCTTGCCAATGGCAACGTCCTCGCACCGTAACGCCCAGCAACATCGGCCGCCGGACGTTGAGGAGGCACTCTCCTCGATGCTGTGGACGCCCTATGAGCGGACAACGCCAACGGCCAGCTCCACGGATGAGGAGGACGACGATGAGCGACTCAATCGCAAACTGCGCAAATCGCACAGTTGCTACGAGACCAGCTCTAGCAGCAACAGCAGCAGCAGCAACAGTGCTGCTCTGAGCCACCTAGCAGCACCACCAGCACCACTCGCACCACCACCACCACCACCGCCGCCAGCAGCTGCAGCCGCAGCAGCAGCGGCAGCTCTCCCCGTGCCTTTTCCCAATTTTAGTTTAAGTGGTTGCGCCTTGGAGGCGGCCAAGACGGCCGCCCATTCAGTTGGCTCGAGTGGCGGCCATAGGAATCGCTACTCGTATCCATCCTACTATGGCAGTCCGGCGCACACACTCACCCAATGGTGTTCCTCGGCGGCCACGGCCATCACGGAGCCGCCCTCGTACGAGTCCCTCTACGAGGCGAGTGTCTCCGGCGTGGGCGCGGCCAGGGCAAGCTTGGCTCCCGTCCAGCCGAACATTATAAAATGTGATAGATCGCAACGATCCCCAGCAGCAACAACTATAACTGCTCAGCAAGATGATGATGATAATGATGATGATGACCAACTCAAACTAACGGCAAATGTTCCCGCTGAGCGTCTAATGCGCTCCTTTACAGACGATTACATATCGCAGGTAAGTCTATCGATATAAATCGATGGCTCTAAGAGATTGATTTAACTAGTTTAGCTAGCTGTAATATGAAATCAAAAATATTAAAATGTTCTGAGCTTTGAACATCTCGCTAAAAAAGTCTTCTTCAGTTAGCCTTATCTCACATTTAATGGACGTCTACTGTATATCGAAATAAATCGATTTAAATGTCAAAAAATCCGTATCTTCTTAAGTTATCCTTAAATTTTAGGAAAGTCTGCTGTTTTGAGATAAATGGCACTTATTGCTTAACTACAACATTCTCAGGAATGTATATTTCCATTTAACCATTCACAGTCTTTAATTGGCGGATGTATCGATTAATGTCGATAGCACGTATTAAACTCAAAGGAAGTAAGGAAAGGCATTGGTATCATAATTGATTAAATTATGAAATTTATATTTTATATATGCACGATATTAGAGCTTATTGACTGTCTACGCAGCTGATAGGCTTTTTATGTGTTGTATAAGACAGCACTCTCGTCTGTCGTGGGTCACATAAAATTGTCACCTTGGCGGCGCAACACCCTCAACTGCGCACTTGGACTCCTAATGTGGCGCCATCAAATTTGATGTCAAGGCTGACATCAGGGGCTCCATTATCGAGCGACTCGATTGACTGCCACTGCGCTCGATAAGAGCTAATGTTTCACTTAGGCCCTTGAGTGCCACCCCGCGGCTTCGATTCCAGAGCCGAGGCAGAGACAGAGTCAGACAGAAAGTGAGAGAGAGAAAAAGAGAGAGGGAGAGAGAGGGAGGGAGACAGTGGCAGATGTCTCCTAGCATCAACATCGACACTGGTATAGTAATTGGTCTCGCTATCGGTTCAAGAGTGCTGCAGGGGTGTGAGTAATTCGGGTTGCGGGTTGCGTGCGGAGAGTGTTGTTCGTGTTGTTCCGTTATGTTGAGAGTGTGGGACTCGTAAGTATGCATTTACATTTTATATCTGTGCTACTATCATAATTTTGTTTTTGTTTTTGCCTTTGTTTTGTTTGCGCCAGCGAAATGGAAAATTGACCACAAAGCAATGAACAAAGAACAAAGACGCAACTAAACTAAGTAAATAACACACACATGTGCATTTAAATATATGTATGCATGTATGTATGTGTGCCATATGCAGATACGAACAGAGTAGGGTTGTCGCCTCCTCAAGTGACCGGCATAGGGGTGGACAATGGAATAAGGGGGTAGAGGTAGTCGGGGTACATTATCTTTGTCCCATTATTTTTCCGCTTCGAGCTTTTGCTACAAAATTGCAACATTTCATAATTTGATTAATTTAAGACTGGTTCTGAGTATGAAAATAATAGGCACACATATTGTGGCACATTAATTGATCCCCTGGGGACAATATGGTATTTAACTATTATATCGCATAATGCGATTTAACCTCGAAATGTAGCCATGTGGACAGAAAAGCGTTCATTACAAGTATCATTGAATATGAGGCTGAGTTGCATTTTGGGGCTCTTTGGTGCCATGGGCTCTAATTCTAACGATTGTAACTAGCGCCAACAATCAACAGACTGTTGCAGACGAAACATTGCACAAGAGTGAACAACAACAGCAACAACAACAGTGACAGTAACAACAATGACAAGGCAATCCAGCAGCACCTAGAAATAAGTCAACAGCAGCAGCAAAAGCAACAGCAGCAGCAGTTGAGCTAACAGTAAATCACATTATATTTCTGTGACGTAATTAATGCAAGTAACACAGCGTAACATAATTAGAACCCACACACACACACACGCAAGCGCGCTCACGTACGCACCAACAGTTATTTAGAGCCCACATTATGTGAATGAGGATTTGACGGCGATTTGGCAGAGATGGCGTCGTTTTCGGATTTAGGTTTCGAGTTTAGCGATGAACAGTCTCTATGCGAATAATGAAAGCAGATAGCTTTAGTTCCCTGACAAAAACACAGCAACTATAATTTAACAGTAATTCATTTGGATTTGCGAATTAAATTGTTAATTGTCGTGAGTAGGCTAGCATGCGATATGTCCCTAATGAGAGAGATAGAGCGCAAATCATGCAGCCACAACAACAACAACAGCAGCAATAAGCAGACAAATAATTTTACAGTAATTTGCTTGGATTTTAGATTTAAATTGTTAATTGTTGTGTTGATGCACGATATGTCACTTGAAAAGCACGACAAGCGCTCATCTCTAATACATTAGACGGAGAATGAGAGCGAGAGAGAGAGATAGACAGAGAGCAGCAATAACTTTATCAGCCAGCATGCAGACGCCAGGCAGGAACAACCACAACAACAACAGGAATTATTTGTGACGATTTTATGTTTGTGCGTTGGCTTAATTAATTCAATTAAGCGCACATTTATGCGCTTGCTTGCCACATCCTGACTTGGCCCTGTGTGGTGGCAGTCACCTTTTTTATTTTTTGTTTTTGGCCAGTGGCTAAGTCGCCCCAGCAATTAACACTAATTAGCACTTGAAACTTAAATCTTGTCATTTGATTAATGCAAAGCTGGCGTATTTTTTTGTCTCTTTCTCTCCGGTTTGGCAGAATTGCGCATTATTTACGCCAACAGCAAACGACACAGAAACAGAAATAACGGCAACAGCAACGAATGTAATATCACAACAAAGTGCACAAAATCAAATCGACAGCAGAGCCAATTACATTATCAATGAAAATGTAGACAAAGACGAAGGCGAAGACGAGGACGGAGACAACAGCGACGTTAAAGATGAGCAAGAAATGGCAAAAAGAAAAATAGCGACAACGACAACAACAACAAGAGCACACGAGGAAACAGGCACAGTTGCAGTCGCTGTCGCTGTCGGAGTTCAGGTCAATCAACCTGTTTCCTGTGCTGCAGCAGCAGCACTCTATCGCACTCTCAGTCGCAGTCGCAGCCGCAGTCACACTCGCAGAGAGCAGGCAGCAGTGATTGTGAGCCCAACAACAGCAGAGAGAGCAGTTGCGGAGAGAACAGCTGCGGAGAGAGCAGCTGGGGAGAGAGCAGCTGCTGCCGTGGCCGGTGGTTGTTCAATTGAGCTTCGTTCGGCTGCGATCAGTCTCTCAAGTTCGTTCGGCGCGTGTACAACGGACGCGCGTATAAAGAGCAGTTATTACAATAACAACAATTGCAACAACAACAACACATTGTCGTCTTGGTTAACGCGGGGGCGCCACAACTACAATTCGTGTCGCAGCAGCAACAGCAGCAGCGACGTGCTGCGGCCCAACAAATGTTTGGCAGAACTCGAACGTTTGTATGCCGAATTTCGCGCGAGTGAAAGTCTCTTCGAGCATCGCCTCAGTCAGAGTAACGACAACGATACCGATAACGATAACGATAACGATACCGATAGCGATATCGACATCGATATCGATATCGATAGGGAAACGGAAAAGATGCGTTTGAATGTGGTGGCAGAGACGCCGCCACCGCAGACATTGCTAACTGCAACGGCAGCAACACAAACAGTTGGCAGCAGCAATAGCAACAACAACGGCAGCAGCAGCAACAACAACAACAGCAGCGTCTTTCTCAGCAATGCTGGCAGCAACAAGGCCAAAAGCATCAGCAACATTGCAATTTTGCAGCCAGCAACAAAGTCCTGTCAGCGACAGCCAAGTCTAACGATTCAAGTGAACAACAATAACAGCAACAGTAACAACAACAGCAGCAGCAACAATAACGGTACTAACAACGGTAATCAGGTTTGTGTTGCGTCGCCCACAAGCACAACGACAACAGCAACAGTTACAACAACAACAACAACAGCGTCAACAACAGCTCAAGAGTCGAGCATCGTCAACAACAACAACGGTGTTTGCGTTGTGAATTGCAACTACAACAGCAGCAGCAACAACAACAACAGCAGCAGCAACACCCCCAACAGTAACAAACGAAATAACAGCAACAACAACAACAGCAGCATTGTTGCAATTAATAATTGTGTGCCCGGAGCCAAAGTGTTTAGTGCAAGTGTACAAAATAAGCTAAATAATAATAATAATAATAATAGCAATAATACTAATAATAATAATAATAATACGAATGTGGATGTGCAACATGCTGCTGCTGTCAGTGCCAGTGTAAGCAACAGTAATAATATAAATAATATTATTAGCTATAATCATAATAATAATAATAATAATAATAATAATAATAATAATAATAATAATAATAATAATAATAGTAGTGTGAATGTGACCAGTGCTGATAACAACAGTGTCAAAGTAATCAATGTGAATCTTTCGCCAACAACACGCACTTTCACCTCAACCGAATGCCAAACCGATGATCTAAGCAACACCGACACCAACAACAGCAACTCCTCCCAGCAACAACAACAGCAACAACAACAACAGCAGCAGCAGCAGCAGCAACAACAACAGCAGCAGCAACAGTTGCGCACACGCGAGCAGCGTCGACGGGAACGTCGAGAACGTCGCCAGCAGCAGCAACAACAGTTGCAGTTGCAGCAGCAATTGCCCCCACACCATCCGCGACGACTGCACGTGGAACGGCACTCACCGCCGTTGCATCCGCCGCCCCACTTACATCATCCCCATCCGCATCCTCATTCGCATCCGCATCCGGCTGCTTTGGGCCTGCCACGTGCTCTCCTACCGGATATTCTGCACAGCCATTATCCGCCGCCGTACAGCGCACTGTCTGCCGGTGTTGCACCGCCACCTTTGCCACCACCACCAGCACAAGCACCGCCGCAAGCAGCGGTCCAAACGCTGCCGCTGCCGTTGCCACTGTCGCTGCCACCACCACCGCCGCCTCCGCTTGCGTCTGTGATATCGACGGTGCCACTGCCGGGTGCCGCACCACTGATGAGCGATGGACGCTTCACGTTGCCGTTGCCCATAATGCGCAGGTGAGTTCTTCTTCTTTTACTACTGCCTCCTCCGTGTAACTCTGTGCAACATTTGCTGTCCGTTCGCTTCAGCTTTCAGATTCAACTCTCACCTCCAGCAACATCGATCAATCCAATTCCCATTTTCATTTCTATGTCTCAGCGCTCAAGTTTCAGGCGTATACCCTGTAAAAATGCATTTAGCGGCTTCTTCAACAAGTGGGGGAGCATATATAGAACTTTGACAGAGATTTTTCAATTTTCTCTTGTTTATCTAAACATATTTTAAAATATTTTACAAAAGCTTTTTATTTTAAAAAACTTTTTAATTTGATTATTGGCAACGCTCTGATTTCAGAGATATTAATCATAATTGAAGGTTATTTTGCTTGTTTATTATTTTATATAAAAATTGAATCTGAAAATAAAATGATATGCTTTTTAATCTGAAATTTCACACAATTATTTAATTACTGGTAACGCTTTGATGTCAAAGGTCAAAGAAAATCTTATGCAACTTAGCTGATTTCACTTTTATTCAGCTTTTTATACAAAAAATGAAAGATTTTCAACTGAAGCTTGGAGTTTGGAAAATGTAGGCACTCCTCAAAAAATGTATATAAATAATAGCGAATAAAACTAAAACATTTAAATAGAATATTATGATATTGAACATGTCTTAAAAATACAAATTTAACTAAGATGCTCACTTCTGAAAGCTGCAGTTTTCAATTATATAGTTCCAGGGTATGTCAGGTGTGTCTCGATTTCACACTAAAAAGATTCTCTGCATATAATTTTTCTTTTTTGCTTTTGGTTTTGGCTCCGCTGTGGAGCTCTTCTTTTTGTGTTTCTTTTGTTGTTGCTGTTGTTGTATCTGTCGTTGTTGTTATTGTCGTTGTTGTTGCTCATGTCTATTTCGACATTTTCTATTACCGCACATCGCTTCTTGCCTTTTTGTGCGGCATTCGTTGTTGTTAGCCGTTGCCGTTGCCGTTGCCTTTTTGCCGGCCATGTGTCTTCCTGTTTCGTGTTTCAACTGGGAGCAGCCAGGCAGACATCAAAAGCAACAACAACAACAGCAACAGCAACAACAAAAACAACATTAAGCATCAGACATTATAATGATGGTAATTTTGATGTCAGTAACAAATTTCTTGCATGATTTGGCTCTCTCTCTCTCCCGTCAGCCAGCCGAATCTAGACTCAGGCCTAGCAATCTTTTTTCTAGTTTTTTTTATAAATGTATTTTTTTGTTTTTTTGGTGAAAAATGAATCTTGTGGGTTGAGAGCGTTTCCAAGAAGTGGAAAACATAAACATGAGCTCTAATTTAAAATTGTTGTCAAGCAGTCGCATAGTCATTATAACTATTATTTGTTTTTTGTTTTTTGTTTTTTTGGTTGGTTTACAAGTACACATGTTGTGCCGGCACGTCTGTGGGGAAATGGAGGGGACATTGCTGCTATAAACCATTTTGATTATAATGAGTTTTGGTTTATCTTTAATTGCAGATCTTAAATCACAGTTTTGCTTGGCCAGGTAACAAAAGTGTCTTAGTGCTTTTTGTTTCGCCCCTTTTGTTCTCTCTGTGTGCTAGCTGACTGGCGATTTTGATTGTTGTTGTGTTCAGAAAGCGCAAGATATAGATATAAATATGTATATATATATATACACATGCTAGATTATATACGACAGAATTGCTACGTATGGTTTTTTCGTAATTTTCCCACGCATTCATTACTATAAATATCTAGCTAAAGTTGAGCTAGAATCACAAACCCGTTTTTCCCATGACTGCACACAAATTATTTTAGATATGTATCCGTATTTTCTCCAATGTATCTGTATCTGTTGCTGTATCTGTATCTGTATCTGTATCTGTGCAGTTAGTCTGTGTATGTGTTTGTGAGCTATCTTTGCAAAACGTCTCCCATTCGAACACTTTTATAGCAAGTCTCTGAACATTTGACATTTGACGACATTGTCGTGTTTCAGAATTTAAATTGTGTTTTATCTATTGTTTAATTGCAAAACTGTGTCAAGTTGAATTGTTTGACTTATTGCTCGTAACACATTAGATTTGTTGACTTTTGTTGTTTTTGTTGTTTGAGGCGTGCCTGAACTCTAATTATTATGTATTATTGAGTTTATGTTCGGTTTAAATTGCTCAAACGATACGCATTTGCTGCTGATTGTGAACTTTAATTATTGTATATGATTGAGTTTATGTTGGGATTAAATTATTCATACGATACGCATTTGTTGCCGGGCAACGTTGGGCGCCATTCGAAATGTTTTTGTCTGCTCAATTTGCACCTGCATTCACTAGCTAAATATTCTATACAAAGAATTGTTTACTTTTAACAGCATCTTTTCAACCCGTTTCTGCCTCTTAGCCGATGCTTTGCTTTTTAATCGGTAAACCACGATTTTTATCTGCAATTTGAACCTTGGCTCCAAATTAACATGCTCTTACACAATTTTGCTGTGTTTTTTTTTTGTGAGATTTACTTTTATTTTGGCGAGATAAAAAACTCGGCCAAAAAAAAAAAGGTGTAAAAAGCGAAAGTTTTGTCAGGGGACGTCAGGAGTTGAAAACTGAAGTTGGGCTGCAGTAAAAAGGTCGTCGTTTGGCCGCTGGTCCATTTGGTCGCTTGGCGGACCGGCTGAGCGTGCATAATCTTTAAATCATTAAATAACAACAACAAAAAACCAACAAAAACCAACAGCCCCAAAATGAAAAATAACAATAACAACAGCGGTTATACTTAATAAAAATAAGAAAATAAAACAGCTGGCAATAAAAAGGAAACGTGATGCTGAACTCACATTGTGGCAACAACGCAGCAGCAGCGGCAGCAGCAGCAGCAGCTTTGTATAAAACGTTATTGTTGTTGTTGTTGTTGTGTTTTTTTTGTGTGTAGGATTTAATTTTGATTTTGAAGCATGCGAAACAAAAGAGCAAAGAAAACACAGTGTGCCCAGTAATAAAAACACTTTAACAGATACAGATACAGATACACTAGCGGATACAGGTACAGATACTTTGACTGAGTTTGAGTTTGTCTTCAACTTTGGCTTGATAACTAAGCCAGTCGACAGTCGAACGACTGTTTCTGTGTGTATGTGTGTGTGTGTCTGTGTGTGTGTGTGTGTGAGTGAAGAGTGCAAGTATTCGTTCACTTTCACTTTCGCATTTGTATCTTGAGGTTAAAACGTAGCTGGAACTTGAAGTGCTTGGCCATATCATCATAAATTTGGCTTAAAGGTAGCACAAAACGCACAAGTCGTAAATCACACACACAAAAAAAAAAGAAAAAACAAAAACAAAAACAACAAAAACGTAATTCAGTTAAGATCATTAGATGCGTGTATTTCATATTAATTATGGCACTTTAGCTAATTGCGCTGAGTTGTGCGGCCTGACACTGAAAACTGAAACAGGCCAACAACAATAGCAACAACAACAATAACAACAACAACAGCAAAAGGCAAACCGGTTTTGTAAGCGACTGTCAAATTGAGAGTCCAAAGACCCAAAAATTTGCATACAGTGCAAAAGTATCTGCAAGATACGCGCCTCAAATCGATGGATGATTCAACTTTAGCCACAACGCTCAAAATGCAAAAAGCGCTAAAAGCAAAAAAGAAAAAAACAAAAACAAAAAACAGACAGCTAAGGCAACAGAAAACCAGATTTCACCCGAAACAACAACCACAACAACAGCAACAAAACAACAACAACAACGGAAAACCAAAACCAAGTTTCAAGTTGCAGAACGCGCTGCTTGCGCCTCCTGGTTTGAGCAGCACCTCGATCTGTGTTGTATCTGTGTGTGTGTGGCTGCATTTGTATTTGTGCATTGTATCTGTTGCTGTTGCTGTTGCTGTACTCGCCCTTTAGCATCCAGTTTAGCTGCTTTCAACATTTACTAGCTGCTGCACGCATCTCCTGCTCAGTTGACACACTTTTTGTCTAGCTCTTCCAGCTAGATCACATTCACAGCTAACTTTGAGCTACCTGCCTCGAACTTTTCTATATATGCATCTATACATCTATAAATTCAGTGACTTAAAATCACACAATCACAGCTAATAACTATTTATATATATCTATATAAATATATATATATTGGTGCTAGCTGGCTAAACACTCGACAAACTGACCAAACAACTTTCCAGTTTTTTTTCCATTTATTTATTTTATTTTTTTGCTATCCTGCGAGTGGACAGCCTTTTTGGCTTAGTCCACTCTTTTTACTGATTTGGCGGAGTTGGCTGTATTTATTTTTATAAGAGAACAAACTGTAGCCACAAGCACCACACCAACCGCAACCGCAACAAAAACAACAGCAGTAGAAATAAATCGGCTAAATAACTTGTCGGTTTTGGCACTAGAGACTAGGAATCGCTAACCCCGAGATACTTGCAACGAAATAAAACAAAACGAGGCGAGACGAGACGAGAATTTAACAAAAGTCAATAAAGCCAATAAAGCAAAATTGTTGTTGCCGCAGTTCAAATGCAGTAACAGCAGCTGTAGCAGCAGCAGCAGCAGCAGCATCAGACTGCTGTTGCAGACAACAGCCACAACAACAACAGCTTCAACAATGCGAAGCCACCAACCACTGTGGTCCACAACCAGATAAATTCTGCAGAATTGTGTGCTGCAATTTAAAAAACAACATACAATTTTACTTGTGTTCCTTAACTTCATATATCAAGTCGTAATCTGTGTAAATATCATGGGGCGTAGCGGCCCCATCTATGGGATCAATGTATCTAACAGGTCGCAGTGCATGAAACTCCTCAAAAATAATAATAATAATCTGTCAAGGAAACTGGGTGTACTATTTTAATTTAATATATATTTCTTAATAATCTGTTATATTTGATCGATATTTATCTATACAGACAATAGCTTAAAGTGTTTAGGTACAACTTTAAGCTATTGTATTGCAGTAATGTACAACTATTAAGAGTGCTCTTGAGTCGAGAGAGCACGACTAATAGATTTCCT